GACCGGTCACCACCAGGAATGTCATAGCATATCTGTTCAAGAATCCTGACTTTGAGGACTCTGGAGGCCAAGGAATGGGAAGCTCACAAGGGGTAGATACATACAGCTAGCACATCACAAAGGGAATAACCTACACAGCCTGGGGATGGTGTCTAATTATTCCCACAGCATAGGGACAAATTATCCAAGGAAGAAGGGGCAGAGGTGACCAGGCATCAGAAGGGGGAGCCTGTGGGCAAAGTTAGAATGGATCCTGCGCTTAATATTTTCAGCTGATAACACGTTTTGTAGCCCCAGTTACATTGGAATCAAAGGACACGTGATCCTAACAACTTATTTCTAGTTTTAAACTTCTTAGCGGTATCCAGTTTGAGAAGTGTCCCAGTATACCCACGGTAGACATTCTTAGGACTCTGACATAAGCGTTGGATGTTTCAGTCATTTATTTGGGTCTTCTGGTGCCCAGCTCTGTAATGCAGGATAGCAGACACTCGGCCCTGTGGGATGGGAGAGCGGGATTGATGGTGGGATGGATGACTCAGGCATGCTTCTGCTTGAGAGACAAGATGCTGGGCAGAGATTTCATGGGAACTCCACCTGCCTTCCCCCAGCCCCCTGTGGAGCTCACCAGCCGAAGCATGGTGAACACTCCTGCCTTCCCTGGCACCCTGGGGCAGTGCATCAGCGAAATAACATGGAAGCCAAAGACAGGAACTCGCATCAGCACCCTTCTCACAGGAACGTGCATACTCTTTACACACTGAAACAACATCTGCATTTGTCTTTGCCTTTTGACCACACAGGTACCGGGCTCTCTTTGAATGTCATGGGGTTGCCTGGCTACCAGTTCCTATGAACCACAGCTTTTGTCCTCTAAGTTGTAATTCAGAATGGGGCTTGTGGCATTCGAAATCCCTTTCTAGTTCCCTATGCCTAAGGGGCTGGACAATGAGGCCTTTGAAAAGTCAGTATTACGTCTGACTCACTCAGGAAAAACTGCAGGAACAACCTTGAAAATTTCTTTATTTATAGACATTTCGGAACCATTTAAATCAACAGACAATGGATTTTTTTTTTTTTTTTTTTTTTTTTTAGACATAATATACTGCATTTATCTTGAGGTACACATTGGGCCCATTAGATAATTCTCTGGAAAGCAACACAGCTAACTGCCGACATGAAGCTAGCAACCCACTGTTTTTCCCAGCCTGGAAACTGTACAGAGACTTCCAAATTCTTAGAAAATACAACTTCCATTCAACTGAAGGAAACTCCCCAGGTTCTTGAGTTTGTTTGTTTGTTTCTTTTAAAGTCTTAGCTGAGAGAATATTACAAATGGATCATAATATGAAAACTGGAGGACAGGTTTGTAGCGAGAGAATTATCCGAGCCCAGTCCTACAAGAGACTGTAAACCAAGGGAGCTCACCATCTGCTAAGCTCTACTACGAAATGCGTAGCTTCGGAGGTGGACGAAGGGGCACAACTATAGATGTTTGCGCCTAGCTTGAAACACACTCCCGTTTACCTGTTTCTGCCTACCACAACGAGGCAAAGCATAAAACGAGACTTCTCGAAAACTCAGAAATGTGACTTGACATGATACGGCCCCAAGAGTCCTACGTTACAAACCCGCAGTGTAATCAAAGTCCTTTGCCACCATGTGCTCTCTGGGTCTTCGATTCTTCTTGCCTCAGCAGCTTTCAGGTTTGTAGAAAAGCAACAGAAATCCACATGATGGCCATGCTTCTCAGAGCCTCATGTGTCCACCAATAGACGTTAACTTTTTTGGTAGACTGCAACCTAAGTTTGCTGGACTCTTTGGAGAACTATTTGTTTCCTAGTTTGTTATTTGGGATATGTACTTCCAAGAAGTTAGGCATGAGGCTTAGTGAGCTATTACACAAAGCACTAGGAAAACGAAGGCATCCATCCACCCCCACCCCCTGAACCTCACAAGGAAGTGGATGGATGCAGGTGGTTTGGCAATGTGAGTGTTTATGTGTGTATCTGATCAGCAGCAATGGATTGTCACATTTCCCATAAAGGTTGTGGCATTTCTGCAGGACAAGAATAAACACTGCAATTTAGCCGAATGGGCAGTTTGATACAACTTCATAAATTTGAATGGTGTTGTGTGTGGGCTGAGAGTATATGCGGACATTTCACAGTTCATAAACTTGAGCAGTTCAACTGAAAGACAGAACTTGCAGGCATTTGGAAGATTCTGTGAAGGAACTGGTGGGCGCACGCTTGAGTTTTCTCTCTGAATTGACTTCGTATTTTACATTGTAGCTGCTTGGCTTGGCTTATTGCTGACACATTCTTTTCTGACAGTGGAGGGGCAAGGAAGATGGCTTTAGCCATCAGGTTAGGACTCCCCCAAGGATCCTGTTTAGATAGCACTTCTCCACAGGTACCACGGTCGCTCACTGGATTGTAGGGAACCTGCCACAAAAGGAGGTATTGTCTTGACACGGCTGGTTGGAGGAGGCTCTACTGTGGGATATGGAAGGCAAGGGCTGTATCCACCTTCTGCTCTTCACAGCCTGCCTCGCTTCTCTCTGGCTTATGAATTCCTTGTCTAGTCAGGATCCTCCACACACTGTCAGCTCAGAAAGGGCAATTATACTTATTTGTGGCTTTTAGAAATGCCAGTGCTGATTATCATTAAAAAATTCCAACTCAGTAAAACAAAATAGGAGACAGTGGGAGACAGATGCATTTTTTTTCCTTTAATGTATTCCAAGTGTTAGTGTCTTGGGGTGTTTCTTGTATGTCTTAGAGGAGCCTGTCATTGCTTCCATCTGTGGGCTCCTTAATGATGGGACACATGTCACCCTCCATACATCCAGCTTCCAGGAAAATGTCACAGTCTCTCATGCACACTTACAGACTTACAGTGTCAGCAACTGTGATTTTGAGACAATTGAGTTCTAGGAGGACAGGGGTTAGGTCTTTTCTCAGCCTTGGGTCTGGCACACAGAAGGTGCTCGTTGAATGGACAGTGAATGCCTGACCCCCAAGAACAATCCTTGCTCTAAGGGAGGCTCCAGGATCCCAGTCAGCGCAGACTTGGCATGAGGATGCCAGGACCAAAGCAAATGAACGAAAAGAAGATTGACAAGCTTACTTTGTGTAAGGTTCTTGCAAAAAGACAAAAGGAGTGAGCTGTTTACATCGGGCAGCCTTCACAGTAAATGCAAACAAACCCCGGGGTTTGCTTCTGAGTTTGAGAATCACGGCCAGGTGCTGAGTGCGGAGTGCTGAGGAAAGAAAGCACTTGTGGGTGGTGACCTGCAGTGTCCCCACTGCAATCTGTCTTCATGAAGGGAAGTTCATTTTCTCTGGATAGGTTAACTTTCTAAGGAGTTGGTTCCCTCATAGAGGGCCACTTCCTGAAACAGAATTTTCATGAGTCTTGGGTGCGAGAAGGCAGTACAGAAACTTCAGGCTCATTAGTGATTCCTGTAGCACTCTAGTCACCTGTTTTTCTCACTTGTAGTGTGGTATTTACATTTGGAGTATATGTTAGGAAGGGAGAAAAGCGGTTCCTTCTTATTAATGAGATCAGAGATGAGAAATTAGACTGGGTACCAATTCATCTCAACTCTAGATCACAAGATGGAATTAAGTAGCTCTCTAATGGCAAGAAATAATGACACACTTCATATAGTTGCGAACCCTGAACTGCTGGGTTTTGTTATAAACAGTTATTTCTTTTTTGGTGAAGAGGAAAACATGATAAAATAGGGTCATCCCTTCAGGATATACTGACTCCCGGTAGCCAAACATTCTCACCTCAGGGCTTGGGTGTGCACCCTGCTAACCGGATGTCTGCCAACTTAGAATCTGGGGACAGACTCCGTGACTGTTTGGAGGATACGGTGCTCAGAAAAACTGGAACTCTTTGAGGTTATATGCCCTCAAACAGTCAAGAGCAAGGGGGATATTTAATCCAAAATTCTTAGACATGTTTTGGAAATCTTGGAATCAGAGTACGGTAATTATAATAATAGTTATTTTTTAGAAGAGTAGAAAACGTTGGTCTATGGAACTAGCAGGGACTCTTATTGATGTTTCAGGAATCAGTGTAGAGATATGGTGTCTACACTATGGAGGGAGGTGGTGTGTCTGGGTCACAAGGTTTCCTAACACCAGGGGCGTGTTGAGAAGACCTCATGTGTGGGGAAATGCTTTTTTTTTTTTTTTTTTTCTCAGATCTCTCATCAGAGCACGTGGGAGGAAAGGATGATGGTTCCAATGTAGCTGTCATTTCCCCAAATGCCAGCACGGATGTGTGAGAATCAGCCCGCCCACAGGCTTAAAAACCACATTAAATTCAACAGAACCTTTCCTGATTGCTTCCAAGTTTTCATGGATGGAAAGCTCAGGTTCTGAGACTCTTTGGAATCATTCCGCCAGCTGTTCTTGACAGGATCCACTCAGTTAAAGGCCTGGAAATCTCAATGGATATTAGAAAGTAAAAAGATGTTATGTAAAATATCAGATTAAAAAATTACATTTAAACATATCCGTGTGTATTGCATACACACATACCTTTTTTTCCCATTATTTTTCTCTCCTCAATAAAACTAGCAGCAGTAACAGATCAAATGTAATGGTCATGATCTCTGTCATTTCTGAGAACATCAGCGATATCCTCCATCACAACATGGTTTTTGGAAAATGCCTTTTGATAAAAAGATCTCCACCAAGCACGTATCATTAAAGTGTCATTCCACACCACTAACACTGTCAGGCACAAGAGTAAAACAACTGTCAGGAAGCAAAGCAAGCTGCAGAAGACAATTAGCTGTCGACCGTTGACTCCCGTTGGAAGCGGACTGCTCACAAGTGTTTACGTCTTTCAGCTTTGGCTGTTTTGTAATAAATACCATGCCTTTGCAAAGACCTACTGGGTTAAAAACAAGTTCTCTGGATATGACTTTAGTTCTTTTAGCAGCTGTTGAATGTTGAGTGACGTACAAGGCACACCTATGAGTGTTCTGTATAGCATCTTTATTGATGTACAAAATAGCCTGTTCACCATTCAGAAATGGAATCTGCATAGTAAGACTTTCTCTTATCTCTATTTACAAAGAAGGATTTTTGTTTTTTGTTTTGTTTCGTTTTAGTGCAAAAAACATGAATTTGTGTCCTAGCCCACCCTTTCTAAACACAGGTTTCGCAGCTCCGTCTCACGCTGGCTGGGGCCATTTGGCTATATCTTGGGCCTCCAGCCATTGATAAACTGCAGTATTTTCTTCACCTGCAGTTTGCTTAGTTTGAAATCCTCTGAGAGGATTTCTTCTGTTAACTGAACGAGCAGATTCCCGTCGATCTTCTCCGTGACAAAGAAGGCTATGACGTCTTCAGACAAACCAATGAACCGTAAGGACTTGGATACTTCCTCTATGGAGAGTCCTGATAGGTCGGCAGGTGGCTGCCACGGGGAACCGTCCCCACAGGACCTGGGGGCCAGCTGGAGGTGGAGCGGAGAGGAGAAGGGGTAAGAGACAGAGAAGATGTCCTGCATGCCCTTTTTGACAAAATACTGGTCCTCAGAGAGGTCCAACGACCCTGCTGCGGGGTCCTCCTCAGCACCGTCAATTTTCAGAGGCAAAGGAGATGTTTCCGGGGTGGCTTTCTGTTCCACTGGCTTTGGGGCCCTTGGGGGTAAGGCAGGGCAGGAGACGCTCTGCTTGGTCATGCCAGCTGCAAGGGAGTTGTCCTCGGAGTTCTCCAGACAGTAGCTGGCCGACTTGGGGCAACTGGAGACAGCGCTGCTGAACTCTGTGGAGGCCGTGCTGGCCCAGCCTTCCAGGCGCTCGCAGCCATCGAAGTCAAAGGGGGCTGGGCAGTTTCTCTTTGGTGTGCCGGGTGTCTTCTGTCTGGGGTAGCTGTGGCTCCTGCTCGGATCGAGCAGGAGGTCACTCCTTGTCTGGTTCTCCGAGGCTCCCGAGTAATGGTTGGGCCACGAGAGCCGGGAGGACAGAGCTTCGGCAGCAGGGCTTCCAAATGGGGACTTGGGGTCCACAGAGTCCCTCTTCGCTCGGTTGCAGGGGTAGCAGGAAACGGGAGCACTGTCAGGAGGACTTGTGTCACTCTGAGTGACGCTGCTTAAAAAGCAAACAAACAGAAAGGGGAATTAGGAAAAAAGAAATAATCGAACCCTAGCCTGTGGGAGGTAGATGCAGGTGGATCTCTGTGAGTTCCAGGCCAGCTTGGATTACAGAGTGGGACCCTGTCTAAAAAGAGTCAAACCCCAAACTTGTCCTTAGTCACAGATGTTATTTCTAAGGTGAACAGGGCAGTTAGGAATCTATCTATCTATCTATCTATCTATCTATCTATCTATCTATCTATC